CTTTCTGAACGAGAAAAACTTATTAGAGAGCATCATGATTCAGTAGCAGGCGGACATCGAGGTGTTACAAAAGTCTATCGTAGTATCCGTGAAAATTATTACTGGCCTAAGATGGGTAAACAAATTGCTGACGTCATTCGCTTTTGTGACAGTTGTCAAAGGAACAAAATCCTCGCTAAGGAAACGAAACAACCGATGCGTATAACAGATACTCCTAAAAGAGCTTTCGAGAAAATCCAAATCGATATCGTAGGACCTCTCCCAAAGACCGTTAAAAACAATCGTTATTTGTTGACTATCCAGGATAACTTGACGAAATATTCAGACGCCATTCCCCTATCCTCAATTGATTCAGTCTCCGTCGCTTCCGCTCTAGCCGAACAATTCATCAGTCGTTTTGGATGTCCTAGGACTATCCACACAGACCAGGGGAGTAACTTCGTCAGTCAAGTCATGAAAAATGTTTGCAAAATCTTTCGAATTCAGAGGATCCACCCAGAATCGCTAGGTTCATTGGAGCGTGCTCATCGTGTATTCGTGGATTATTTGAAGGATTATTGTAAGAAGAATAATTGGGATGATTGGATCCGTTTCGGGATGTTTGCTTATAATACTTCAGTCCATGAAGCTACAGGTTTTACTCCTCATCAGCTCGTGTTTGGTGTTGAAGCTATTATTCCGTCAGAATTTGCGAAAGGTGCCTCGGACATTCGTCCAATATCTCGATGATCTTTTTGTTAGGATAACTACCACTCAGGCGACTGCAAGGGAAAATTTAGAAAAGGCTAAAGAGAAAAGTAAAATGTACTACGACAAAAATGTTAATCCACGACAATTCCATGTAGGCGATCACGTTTATTTAAAGAAGGAACCCAAAACATCGAACTTTGATTATAGTTGGATGGGGCCTTACGAGATAATAGGTATGCACGGGAAATCAAATGCGGAGATCGCTCTTGATAAGATTAGAAGAAAGATCGTACACACGAATAAATTGAAATTAGCTTTTGTTAGGCCTGATACTCCTGAAAAGAAAGATGATTGAGATAAGAAAATATTGTAATCCATTGATGATAAATAATATGATGCTATTGATAAATGATATGATAGTAACGACAATCAGTAACGTTGATGAGAGTTGAAAGTAAAAAGCTGTTTCATTAGGAAACATCTTTTTGAATAAGGAGGAAAGTGTCGCGTAAACTGCTAGTAGCGACTTAGGGTCCCTAGAATACTCACCATATTTACTAGAATGTATAGGATAGTCGCTTGAGCCAATGGGAATGGCTCCCCCACCTTTCTGGATTTCATTTTTGAAGTTGAAGTGATATTGAGAGTAGTGTTAAGAGGCAGATAAGTCTTGAACGTCAAACTGATTAGATATTTCCAATATCAAACTCTTTTGTTGTTAAACAAAACCAAATATATCAAACAAATAATATAATCAATATCCAGTGTTCAACTAAATAATTGTGTGATACGATTTATTTAAAAACTACCTATCCAAATTCCCGCACTTGTAAGCAGAGTGGTTCAGTACTCCACGGGCAACGGACCTGCCATCTACACTTCTGGGAACCAGCTCGATACGTAACATTTTTATCGCATAATCCTCATCCTCAACCTCACCCCTGAGATCTGGGTCTGGGAAGGAATTGCAAACACACTAATTAATATCACAAAATCACTTTTAAATTCACTCAAATCACAATTGTTTCACTCAAATATGAAATACTTACATTGATTTCAACTTGTCAAACACTTTTAAACTATCTCGTGGATAGTTTGAGACGTACTGAAGCAGAGCAATAAGACTGCGTATCCACTTAACAAACACTTCACTCCCCTTCTCGGTTGGGCGCCTGGCGTCTGGCATTCAAAGCGTCAATGTTTATGTTTTGGAGGAATGGAGGATTGTGAAGAAGGTTGAGACTAATAATAATTGAAATATATTTACATGGACTATTTTTCTTTTTATTCAATACATGGATAATTTCAAAATAATAATAATGAAAAAAAAAGAGTAAAATTTTAGAAAAAACTTGTAGTGCACACTTTTGCACGTAATATCATGATTTTGTTTGTTTGGTACTATAGAAGGAAAATCTTCATTGAAGCGTAAGCAATAATAATCCATAGTTTCTGATCATCCTGTCAGATAAGCGTAAGCAGGCAAAACGGGGAATTATTCCTCTCGAAATCCAATACTGGT